TGGGTGCTGAGCAGCATTCACACGGGTGATGTAAAGGCGGAAATCTAGGAAGTTACCCACGTGCGGAAACAGAATGATCAAGAAATCAAATCAGAGTGTTTGGGCTTCAGGGAATTCAGGCCAAGGCATTTCTGCCATTTAGTTTCATAGTTTAAAAATAGTAGTAGGGTGTTGGTTTTTATTGAGATATTTCTTCTATTTTACTTCGACACACCAAAGATGGTCTATTGCCATCTCCCTCATTAATTAGCATTTATAATGAACAAATCTAAATTTCCTGTGACTTTTTATAGTCTCCAAGCTTGTTCCCTACAGAGTAAGTATATTCAGTAGTAAATATTCTTATCTTATAATAGTGCATGGAAACAGGCTACCCTTGGCTATTCTTGGCTATGTCAAGAGCGAAAAATATGTTTTCAGTTAAGTTTATAAAAAAAGGAGTCTTTGGTCAAATGACTGTTAAAATATAAATAAGTATTGGAATGAAAAAAAATCCACAGAGGGTTATAAACTGTACTGAGTTGGCAGTGATGCTAGGAATAATTTTATTGGCCAGGAAAAAATTACAGTGTTTCCCATGCCATCCACGGGCTAATATCACAATTTATGGACCATAGAAAAGGTTTTATTTAAACTCCTGGGAAATTTCAAAACTATATCTACCAAGATACTACTTGAGAAAATAAAGAATCTTGTGTTTTAATTCTATGAGATGGTATAAAAATTATTTACGTGCAGGAGTTCACAGCTCCCCAGTTCCCTTTGTCTTGGCATCTTCTCCAACCCTGCTTTATTGGAAGAAAAAAGGAATAGATTACATGATCAGATTCTTAGAAAAATATAAATACATATTTCTTGGTGGTGGAGAGAGTTGAGGCAATGCGCTAAGGTGTATGTAGCATGTTACGTGGAGAAGCAAAGGAACTGGAGGCAGGGTTGTGAGCAGGAAGGAGTGGATGAGGCATTTGATTTGGGCAATAGAGTGAAAAAGCCCCAGGAGACTGAGGGACCAGAGAAATAGAAAGGAGAAGATATCTTTTTTTTTTTTTTTTTTTTTTTTTTTTTTTTTT